GTCTGCCCTCAGCTCGGCCCGACCTGGGGCTCCATGCTGCACCAGTCGGGCAGGTGCCGCCCGTGCCAGTTCGCGGGGCGCGGCTGCAAGAGCGGGGAGGTGTGCCGGCTCTTGGAGAACGAACAGATCTTTCACGACCCTCGGAGGAGGATGAGGGGGAGGGGGAAGGGGATGGGAGTCGAGGAGGAGGCGGAGGAGGAGGAGGAGGAGGAGGTGGAGGAGGCGGAGGAGGAGGCGGCGGAGGCGGAGGTGGAGGCGGCAGAGGAAGAGGCGGATGATGATGATGATGAGGATGAGGTGCCGATGCCGCTGCCTTTCCCTCGTTTTGGCCTTTCTGGGCCCCCTGGGCTGCCCTCGTCGCCAGGGCCGGATTGGCCTCGAGCTTCAGTTCACAGCGCATCTCGGGAGAGGTCCGGGGAACGCCGGTATCCGCACCTTCTGGTGCCCCCCCCAGGTTCTGCCACCTGTGCAGCGCGGCAGACCCGCGGTCGGGCAGCACCGCTGGAGGGCCACGGTGTGGCCCCAGGGGCAGCAGGGCGGCCCACGGCGGCCCCTCAGAGGGACCCAGGAGCAGCCGGGCGGCCCCTGGGCGCCCAGGAGCAGCCACACGGCCAGAGTCGTCAGTGGGTCTCCAGAGATCTTCAGGATGCCCCCAGAGGCCCGAAAGGAAGGGGCCAAGGGGGGCCAGAAGCCTCGGTCCTCGATTCTCGATCCTCCCCGGGAGGAGGGGGGAGGTCTCTGGAGAGCCTGTGTGGTTGTCTCCTGCGGCCCCGTGGCCCTTCGGGGTGGCTCGGGCCGACCGCGGTGACAGACAGGAAGCGGCCCGCCAAGGGGCGGGGGTCCTTCTCCTGGCGCAGCCTCCGGAAGGCCACGGCGGCGAGGGCGCCCGCGAAAAGGTCGGGCGGCCAGAGCTGAGGCTGATCTGACCCCTGAGATGCAGGAGTTGCATTCTTTCAACCGAATCGGACGATTCTGCGTTGCTCCAGGCCCTGGCCTGGGACCCTCACGGATCGATCCGACTCGAGGTTAGTGGCGCAGAAAGATGGGGCCTTTGGTCCTGGTCGTGATTCTCTACGGTGTTGCATTTCCTTTGCAACGTCGGCTCTCAGAGGTCCGTACCCGAGCACGCGCGGCTGGCTAGCTTCCTCCCTCGCCTGCGTATCCCTGCGGGCGCGCCCGCGGGGCGGGCCCTCCCGCGGGCTCGTGAAGGCGCCCTCTCTTTGCTTCCGCGAGGCGGACGCCCCCCCTTCCCGCCAGACGCGCGGATGGGGACCTGGAATTCTTGAATCGGGCATGCAGTTTCGCCACGTGTTTTCAATTGCACGTGTGCTCAGTCATGTTGCAGTGGAGGCCCATGCCAAGAAACACCCTGCTTGCCTCCAGAATTCCCTCGGTTTCTTGGGTTTCGATGGTTTTGCGATGGAGAGCGTGACGTTCCCACACCAACAATCAATGGACGTCCTGGGGTCTCAGGGTTGGGTTTCTTGTGGAAGATTTCTTGTGGATAGGCCCCCACTGTAGTGGCATGTGGGGACATACGGGGCCGCACACATTACCATGCCCTGTTCTCTCGTCCTCTTCCTCCTCTTCCTACTCCTCGGTCCTCCCCCTCTTCGGGCAAGCAAGTTTTAAAAAGGTATGCGATGGCGCTGCAGCGCGAGTCCGCCAGCGCGACGGGGGCGGGCGCCCGCGTGAGGGAGGAAGGGCTGGGCTGGAGCGGGGGCGGGGTCCATCGGCTTGCTGCTGGCAGTTGCGGCTGCGCTCTCTCGACGATGACGACGCTGCTGCTGACGATGACGATGACGATGACGATGACAATGATGACGATGATGATGATGATGCTGATGAGGTTGATGATGGTGATGCGGGCTGATGATGTTGAAGATTATGATGATCTGATGAGCATGATGATGACGAGGACGAGGATGATGATGATGATGATGATGATGATGATGATGATGATGATGATGATGATGATGATGATGATGATGATGATGATGATCATGCTGCTGGTATTTGTTATGATGATGGTGTTTATGACGATGATGGAGACGAGGGTGATGATGATGAGGATGAGGATAGTGATGATGACGATGGTGATGCTGATGCTGTTGCTGTTGTCCTTGACGTTGTTGATGATACCGATGATGCTGATGCTTATGCTGTGGATTATGATGACAGTTATGCTGCTGATGATGACGATACTGATGATGATGCTGATGATGCTGATAATACTGATGATGATGATGATGATGAGGCTGCTGCTGCTGCTGATGATGATGATGATGACGATGATGATGATGATGATGATGATGATGATGATGATGATGATGATGATGATGATGATGATGATGATGCTGTTGATGACGATGATGATGATGATGCTGTTGCTGATGATGATGCTAACCATGAGGGGTGCGAGGTAATCATAGGAGAAGTATCAGGCCACTGCCTTCGACTGGAACCTGAGCGTGCGCGACGCGCGCGCGCGTGGTCCCAGTTCGTTTTTTCGACAACAATCACGAGCCAGTTCAGCAACGCATGAACGCATGTTGGGCTCGATGCCCCGGATTTGCAGAAAACGAAGTTATCAGACAACAGTAGTCCGACACGTGCGCAAATTAACCAAACAGCTGCACATTCGGTGGCGGAGATCCCGGGAGCATTCTTATTTCATTTCGAGCAAGCTGATGGTGCAGTAGGCAGCATGACGCTGAGCTCTAGCCGCGACAACGTCCAGCCGAGGCCAGCCTTCAGCGTCTCCAAACGCGCGGCGTCTCGGACTTTCCGAGACGTGGCCTCCCAGCAGCCTCGGCCCTTTCTAGGAGTTGGTTTCAGGATCGTTCCTCGGGAATCTTCCGGGGCGTTTTGTGGCCAGTCTCGGCGCGCGCTAGCTGAATACCCCAGCCGCCTCAGCGGGCTCGATGGCTGCCATAGGAGCAGGAGGAGCACGGCTCCGGCTCCTGCTCTTTATTCCAGAGTTTCCTTCAAGAGCTGCTTCAAGAGGAGGTCGGAGCTCGGCACAGCGTCTTCCGACGAGGCGGCACCTGCCCCATATGGTCAGTCTGAGCGCAGGTGCGGTGTAGGCATGCCTTGGTGCAGGTGCAGGGCGCGCCTGAAGGCAGCTTTGTTTATTGAGGGAACACGTCGGTTCTCTGCGAAATCATCAAGGCCTGTGCGAATATGCAAGTTCGCGCGGGCAAGTGCCCGCGATGTTCCCATTCCCGTGTGCCCGTTTCCGTTTTCAGTGTTCGGCACGCCAGTTTGCATGTGACTGTAGCGTCGGGCACACCAGCAACTGAGGTGGGGTACGGCTGCGCACGCGGGCGCTTCCGAATCTATGTGGCGCCACGACTTCTCGAATACGCCTATGGCAAAACCACTGCCGAGCCCTGCCCTTCTGAAAACGCCTCTGCGGCCGAACGCTGGGCTGAAGTATGGCCAAATTCTCGGATCGTGTTTTTTTCCCAGCCGTTGCGGACCCCCTTGGGGGAACATGTGGGGCGAAAGAGGGAGTTAGGAGGGGAGGAGTTGGAGGAGGAGGTGGCGGAGGAGGAGGAGGAGGAGGAGGAGGAGGAGAAGGAGGAGGAAGTAGAGGCGGAGGAAAAAGGCAAGGCCTCGCGGGGCCCTCCTGGGTCTTCCTGGGGTCTTTCTGTGGGCCTCTGAGGGGCCTCTTGGGGTCCTCTTTGGGGCCTCCTGGGGCCTCTTGGAGCTTCTTAGCCTTCGGATACCATCTTGGGGGCCTCACTGAGTCGTCTTGGGGTCTTCTTGGGGCGTTTTAGTGCCGTCTTGGAGGTCTGGGGCCGTTTTTAGGCTGCCTTGGCCCTCTGGATTTGGACGCCCGAGAAGGCGAGACCGCGAGCACTACTGTTGAACCAACGCAGCATTGAAGATTTTGGCTTCCTGGAGGTCCTTTGAGCCCTCTTGGGGCGTCTTGGGGGCCTCTTGGGCCGTCTGGAGGGCATCTTGGGTCACCGCGGAGTTATCTTGGGTCGTCTTGGTGACATCTTGGAACCTCTCGGGGCCACGGCCGTTTTGGAAGCCCTCTTGGAGCCATTTTGGGCGAGAGAGCTTATGGAGTTTGAGCTTTTACGCGGCCTCCTGGGTGGCCGGCTGGATGAGCCGAAACCTAGTGGCAAGCTTGTGGAAGGGCAAAGCCAGCCTCGAACCAGGAGCACGCCAAGCACCCCTTTGCAGTCAAAAAGGGGGCGGCGGATATCCATAGGCCTTTGGCTCATCCCGCCATTGCGCCCGAGTCGTGGACATGGAGCCTCTTGGAAGCCTCTTGAGGTCTCTGGGGAGGCCTCTCGGGGGCCTCTTAGAAGCCTCTTGGGGGTCTCTTGTGGGCTTCTTGGAGCTATCTTGGGGCCTCTTGCTGGCCTCGGGGGGCCTCTTGGGTGCCTCTTTGGGGCCCGCTGGCGGTTTCGGTGGCCATCTTGGGGGAAGGGCTCGCAAAGTCAGTTCGAGTTCCCCCTCTTTGGTCCCTTTGTGGGCAATGTCGGGGGCCTCTTGGGTGGGCGCTCTCAAGAACGAAGAGCAGGGCATGCTAAACATCGCACATAGACTCTTGAGTTGCACCCCAGGGGCTCCAAGACGGCCCCACAGGTCCCCAAGAGAGCCCCAGGACGGGTCCTGGCTGCTATCTTGGGACATGTGGAAGTGTGCACTCCCAGTTGAGCTCCCGCGCCCTGTAGAAAAGTTCAGCAAGCCACCCCAGAAGCGTCTGGGAGCGCCCAGGAGCGCCCAGAATTCGGGGTTCCCTGCCCTCGACAGGGAATCTACGATATGCAAAGTTGCCTGAGGGCACCCCATGCAATGCCCACGTCACAGTTGCGAAACATCGATTCGCGATGGGTTCCCGCCGTCTGGTAAGCAGAGTGCATGCGAGTGCGAATGCCTTTGCGAAAACGAGCTGCTCGGATCCCGAAGAACCCTCAAGGTGTACGCGTGCCATCCGTGCAAGCAGCTCGGTCGCCAGCTGGCCCTCCGACCGCGAACACGCCGGCTCTCGCCCGAGCAGCTCGGCGAGGCAGGACTGCGCGAGTGCGCCTTGGACAGGTCAGGACGGGTGCGCGCGCGCGCGCGCCAGGAGAGTTCCACTGAGGCTCCGCAGGGCGACTTCCGAGGTCCCCAGAGCTGTCAATGGCGGCTCCGGAGAGGGAGGAGCCATAGACAGAGAGAGCGCAGAGGGCCCGGCTCGCCTCACGAGAGGGCCTCTGGGGGCGGCTGCCTCCCCTCCAGCCTCAGGGGCCAGGGGTAGCTGAGTGCAGCCAGGGGGCCCGCCGCGCCTCACGAGCGCGCGAGCGTGAAGTCGAGGGCCGCAGGATCGAGACCTCCGACGTAGCTTTTGGTTGTAACGGTCTCGTCTGTTTCTTCTTTTGCTTGGTTTTGCAGTGTGCGGCCCCCCGCAGCTTACGACTCTTCCCTCCTCCCTCCTCCTCCTCTTTCTCATGTCGTTCCTGTGCCTTTGTCTCTCTGGCTCAGCCCTCGGGCTCCGCCCTCGGGCCCCCCCCCCCAGAGGCACGTGCGCAGCTGCGCCCGCATCGGATCAAGAGCCTCTTCTCACTTCCTCCTCAGTGAGCGGTAGTTTCGGCACGTGCCGACCTCGTCTCGGCGGCTCACCGAGTGGGGGAAGTGAGATGAGGCAGGCCTTCTTTGAAGGCCAGAGGCAGCCTTTTCTGCCTTCCCCCCTGGGCGCGCCGCCGATCCTTGGTGAGCTGTAGTTCGGGTACGTACCGACCTTCTCGGTACCCGTGGACATGGGGCTTTTTTTCCGCATGACCTGCGCGGAACGTATCCATGCGAACGCGTATCCACGGGACCCGCCCCAGGGTCTAGACCGTGAGGGCGTGGAGATGGACGTGTTGGTCGCTCGTGGGCACGTACCGACCTGATCGGCCTCACGGTCTGCGGTCGCCAGACCAGAACGGCGCCACGCGAACCCACAGACGTTCTCGACTCCATGCCAGGGACGGGCCCCTCGCCCCAGGCCTCTCAAGAAGGCCCCGGCCTCAGGAAGGCCCCCCCCGAGATCCAACGTAGTGGAAAAATTGCAACACAGTGAAAATCACGGCCGAAGCCCCAGACACCATTTGTCTGTACAATTTTTCGAGCCGGAACGATCTGTGAGGGTCCCAGGGTCCGAAGAGGGGGAAAAAGGACTGGCTCGAACAACAAATCTTCACGCTTCCGCGTATCCCCACCAGTAATTAGGTTCGCGCGTAGCCCGCCCGATTCTTGACGCTGCTGGCGCGCTCGCATGCGGCCGCGACGGAAAAAGTATCCC